AAGCTGCACTCGTACCTTCACCGTCCACCTCGGGCAGCAGCTTCCTCAGCGGCTTCCTCACTTCCCACGTGCCGTCGATGAAGGTGGGCATCACCCTGAGCAGCTCCTCTTTGTCCTCCTGGTGGACGACGGGGATGGTCTCCAGGATAAGCTGCATCTGCTCCAGCTCGTGGCCCCCTGAGCGGGCAGAAGGCAAGGCAAGTGAGAGACGAGACGCAGCAGATCAAGGGCTCCCTGGCTGATTTCCAGCCCCTTCTCTGTAGGAGGTTTCCAGGCTCACACCCACGGGGCTGACCCCAAAACACACCAGGGCAGGTGCGATCATCGAGGGAACGGTTGGCGGTGGAATGAGAGACCCTCGGGAAAGGGTCTCTCCATCCGCCACGTCCCCACCGCTCCAACAAGGTTTGGTTCAACCCACTTTCACCCACTTTTCCCCCAGGAGGCAGAGCTCAGAGCCAGGACACGGCAGCGAACTCAGACGACCCCAAAGCCAACACCGACACGGGCCCAGCTGGTCGCACCGTCACACCCGCTCGCATCGACCGCTCAGAACAAGACGATTCAACAGGAAAAGCACCAAAGGCAGAGGGACACCCTTCCAATACCAACCCTAGAAAAACAAATTCACTTTTTTTTTTCCCCACAGAAAAAACTCATTTTAGGTCACTTTTAGGGATTCACGGCACGGCTCCAGGTGAGACTAAAGATAACCAGCACCTCGTCGGTCAGTCTAATTCCCGGACTGGGATCAAAATTACTGGGCACTGGAAGCCACAGAGGCTTGGTGGCTGTTCCCTCAGTGCCAAGGGTACCTGGCAGCCAAAAGGCGCCGTGGTTAGTCCCACAAAGAAGCTGCTAATGCAGCACTGCAAGCCTTGAATTACGGCTCTCAGGAAACACGATTCTCCTCCGTTATCCTCTGTTTATGTAACTCCCAGGGACCTTTTTCTGAAGGCGTTAATTCCTGGAAAGAAAAACATGAACTGCAGGCAGAATAAACTGTATGTGCTGCCGTTACCTCGGGAGAGAACAAGCAGCTCTGGAAAAGGAAACCCTTCTCCAGGCTCGCAGCCAAGTCTTGGGGAAGCACCCAAGCCCTGATCCCCTTGGGGAGAGTCCCTGTGCCACCTCCTGGCTCTGCCCCGCTGGTGAATCCCCCTGGAGACCTGCAAGGACGGGATCTTTTCTCCTTTTTTTTTCACTCCTTGCTTGACAGAAACATCTCCAAGGCACGCAGCAACCAGAGCCCAGATAAGCCCCCCCATCCTGGGGGGTTATTTTTTTGCCTCTGACCACAAAACGAGCTTGAAAGACCAGCTTGGACGACCCCAGCGGTGTCAGACGACGTAACTTCCACCCTGGGGTGCGGCATCTCCCCCAGCGAGAGACCAGGAAAGCGGCACGTGGAGACGTCCCTGCTCCTGGAATACATCCTGAGGAAACAGCAGGAGCAGCCAGGCTGGATGCCCAATTTTCAAAGCCGAAGTCCCTCGGATGTGAAAATTCTGGGGATTAAGGATCGTCTCGAAACGAGACCGAGCGCCGATTTCTCGGCGTTCGCAAAGGGGGGACGCGGAAGCTGCGAGCGGGAGCGGGGAGGGAGCGGCAGGGCGGCTGCAGCTGAAATTATCAGCGAGGAAAACGTTATTTAGGAGCCTAATTATTTATTTACGCAACCCCTGCAAAAACCAGCTGCGTCAAACCCCGTCGCTCGGAGGCGGCTGGAGCTTCCAGACCTCGTTCCCAGGAAAAATCCTGAGGATGGCTGGAAGTGGGGCGTGGGCATTCAAATATCTACACTCACAGGGAAAAGAAACAGCTCTACCCCCTGAGGGAAGTTCTCACCTCTAATAACAGCAGGGGCTGCACAAGCTGAAGCTTGTTCTGGAGACACCCCTCACGTCTGATAACCAACCTGCAGCCGGCAGGGACAGGGCGGGGATTCCCTCAGGATTGGGTAGCAAGGAAAGAGGGAGCACAAAAAAAATAATAATAAATTAATCAACAGGGGCCAATAAACCTACCGGCGAAGAGCATCCTTCCCGTCAGCATCTCGGCCAGGATGCAGCCGGCCGCCCACATGTCGATGGCTTTGGTGTAGTTGTTGGGCGAGAGCAGGAGGCGAGGCGAGCGGTACCACTTGGTCACTAAGCCTTCCGAGAGGTAACCCTGGGAAGAGCAGAGGGAGGGGGGACAAGGTCAGCAAGGAGAGCTTTAGAGCACCCACATCTACTCTGGTAAATCCCGGTGCCCACCTCTGAGGCGTTCTGGAAGTTAAACCCGTTATTTGAGGGATGCGATCAGCAGGATCCCAGCCCCTCACAGGAGCCTGGTGGGCTCACACCACCCGAGGGAAAGCCCACGCAGGAAAACGAGGGGGGGTTGTCCAAAGAGACAGATTTAGGGAGGAACATCAGCCTCCTGGAGCAGCAGATGTCTTAACAGCGCTGATGAGTGGGTAGCAGAGCTGCCAAGGGCTCCTGGAAATACGACGGCGTGGGAAAAGTGGGAAAGCCCTTCGGGAAAGCCCACACTGAGCCTGAGCTTGGACTAATAAATCCCCTCCCTCCCCCTGTCACCCCCATCCTCAGCAGGATGGTCAGTTGGGATTCCTGACACGGATTTAGAGGAGCTCTCATCAGCACCCACAGCACCCAGACTGCCATCATCACCGGAACGTTCACCAGCGGCGTTTTCTGGCACCAAAAGCAACTCATCAACGGAAAGGGGGGGGCGGACCGAAAGGCAGCAGAAGCAGATTCAACCAGACGGAAAGGACCGTCTTAATCAGCTCGAACGAAGATGGGACGCCCATCCGCGCGGATTCGGCACGGCCCTTCCTGCACTGAACGACCGCTGGAATCTCTTTAAAAAAACAACCAGTATGATGGAGTTAATTGAGAAACAGGAATGGTTTCAAGTCCAAGCTCTGCCACGCTCCGTGTTTTTTTTTTCTTTGTTTGTTCTCAATTTTCAAGCATCGTTTTCTTGCTTCTCCGGCGCGTGTGTGTGAACGGCTCAGGCAATCTACAAAGGTGATGAGGGAGCCGGGTCAGCTCCGGGTGCGGATGGGGGGGACCCCAAAATAGCAGCAAGCCCAAGCTCTTGGAATAATCTCCGAGGTCCAGCGTGGAGGGTGGTCCTCTCTGGAGCAAAGACCCCACATCCTCACCTCCTCGTGGCGACCCGCTTGTTGTTTTACTGCACGGGCTGGGAGCGACGACGTTTGTGAGGATGAAATTCCGAAGGTTTGAAGTCGGCCTGCGAACTGATCGCCACCAAGATCTCCCCCCCTGAAAGGGCTGCTGCGCTCCCCCAGCGTGGGAATTCCTGCCAGTTAACTCTCTAGAGGGGACGTCGCCAACCCCAAGCGCTTTGGGCCGAGCCCCCAGAAGAGATAATCTACGTCCTGGACGACACGGGGAGGACGAGGAACGTTTTAGTTTGTGAAGGCATTCAGGGAGTCTCTGCAACCCCCACAGAGATCCCACAGGCATCCCCACTGTCGTCTTCTTTGGATCTGCTGGGTCTTTTAGACAGTTAAACAGACCAGGGAGCAGGGATTTTTCATCTGCAGCTCTGGAGAGCCCTGGGGCACTGTTTTGGTAGACAAAAACCAGTTCATCGACGGCCGGTCAGAAGCGCCGGGGCCGGGAGAACTCGGTGCCGGGCAGGGGACCCAACAGGACCTACTGGGACCCAAAATGACCCCATGGGACCCAACAGGACCTACTGGGACCCAAAATGATCCCATGGGACCCAATAGGACCTACTGGGACCCAATGGGACCCAACGGGACCCAAAATGATCCCATGGGACCCAACAGGACCTACTGGGACCCAAAATGACCCCATGGGACCCAACAGGACCTACTGGGACCCAAAATGACCCCATGGGACCCAACAGGACCTACTGGGACCCAAAACGATCCCGTGGGACCCAACAGGACCTACTGGGACCAAAAATGACCCCATGGGACCCAACAGGACCTACTGGGACCCAAAATGATCCAATGGGACCCAACAGAAGATCCACCAAGGTCCAGCCACCCCACCCCACCCCATCCAGAGGTAATTCCGTGCCTTCCTCCCCCAGCCAGCCTACCTTGTGCGAGTAGTGCTGGTCCACGATCCTGGCCAGCCCGAAGTCGCCGATCTTCAGCACCAGGTCCTCGGGGCTGATGAAGATGTTGGCCGGCTTGAGGTCGCGGTGCAGGACGTTGGCCGAGTGGATGTACTTGAGCCCGCGCAGCAGCTGGTACATGAAGAGCTTGGCGTGCTCCTCGGCCAGCTTGCCCTGCTCCAGCAGCCGCGCCAGGTCGGTCTCCATGTACTCCTGCACGACGTACAC